TTTGTTTGCATATTTATTATCTGTTTCTCAACTGCCCTGGATGTATGCGCATAAGAGCATGAACCCATCTCTGGTAGCCTTTGTTTGTTTGTGATCCTGGGAATGGAACTTAGAGCCCTTTGCATGCTGGGTAAGCATGCTACCACTGAGCTGCATCCTCTGTCCTTCTGTTTCATCTCTGCTCTATCACCCCAGTGCCTGGAATGGGCTTGACCTAGAGCCAGTGTCCCACCCATTCTTTTCGAATCAATATTGTTATTTAGCCCTGTTCTCCTAGACTCAGGCCAAGTCAACTTTCTAATTGAGGCCTTCCAATTTTGGTGTGTATAGCTTCTGTCCTGTCTCACTAATCCCTCAATCACCCCACCCATCTTTGTCCATCCCATCTTCCCATGCCTACCCTAGCCTGTGTCCTCTCACCTTCTGTGTGGGAGTCCCTCTCGGTTGTCACTCTCCACTGCACCAGAACACCCATCAGGCTAAGTAGGGGCCAGAGTGCCAGCAGGGCCCAGCTCCGCCAGCACAGGGGAGGCACAGGCGCAGCCCGCAGTCGCTCCACCACGTAGCGCCCCAGCAGTAGCAGTTCAGCAAAATAGTCTGCAGCAGTGGCGATGAGTGCAGCACCAGTCACAGCCGTGGCAAGGGTGGTGAGTGGTCGGGGCCAGCGCAGTGTGAACAGGGCACAGAGCAGGCCGCCTCCGAGCAGCAGCCCCAGTGGGCCCCATACGGAGCCAGGCTGGTAGTAGGGTGCCGAGCCCAGTAGGGCGGCAGCAGCGAGCAGCAAACCAAGCAGCAGCCCCACTAGGAAGAGGCCCACGCTGCGCACCAGCATGGCTACCAGCCCGCAGAGCAACCCAATGCCCAGTGCGATGCCTGCGCTTGCTCCTGCGCTCAGCTGCGTCTCCAGAACCCGCTCTCGGTAGCACAGCAGAAAGATGACCACTGAGCCAAACAGCAATCCAGTGAGGAAGAGGACTGCCTTGAAGCAGCGGTAACCTGGAGGGGAAGAGGGCCATTGGGGTCCAAAGTGAGGTTTCCAGACAGGAAGTCAGAGGGCTGGGAACATAGAGGCACAAGGGAATCAGAGACATAGGTGCTAAAGTAAGAGAATTGGAGGTCACAAGGACTCAGTGGTGGATGTTTGCTGGGAATCATTCGGAAGACGTGATTATTGGAATAATGCTTTGAAGTTTTTGAGGGTCAGAGTTAAGGATCACTAGGGTTAAGTAAATCAGTAATGGGGCAATAGGATCTCTGGAATCATAGGGTTCAGAGAGATCACTCATTGGAGTCGCAAGGGGATCAACAATGGAGTGCCTGGGGCCTCTAAGGAGGGACTATTTAGAGATGAAGTATTTGGAAGTCAGAAAAAAATGTATAGAAGCGAGGACACATACATTTAGACAGATGAGATCTTCGTATGGTCATAGGGCTTCATTCATAGTTAAAGCACTGCTGGAAGGTTAGCGAGATAGCAGAGCTGGGTTTGGGGAGATGAGGTCTTTGGAGATGGATGGGCAAAAGTAGAATCATTAAGATTATTAAAGACAAAGGGGAACACTGAAGCCAGAGAAATGGCATCAGTATGTGTGAGGCAACAGTCTCCTGAGGCAACAGTTACAGGGATCAAAGAGAACCGATGGGAGGGAGCTAGGACCCATACAGAGTTGTTAGGAATCCTAAGGACTATGTGGAGAAGTTGTGGAGTTTCAGAAGAGGGGCTGATAGGGACTTTACACCCATTAGCAGTACTTGAAAGAGGAAGGGGTGTAGA